AACAATATACTCTGAGGAACCCAATGTAACTTGTCCCAGAAAAAAATCAACTAAAATCGCTTGAATCTCTGCTAACAAACGCAAATGAGGATCTATGCAGGTTAAATGCAGGTTAATTTATGCCATAAAGAGGAAGCTATTAGATTATTTATAACTAAGGTCCGACCTCTATTTGACATATTTGGGATTAACCACTTCCATTTCTCAAGTCGACCTTTAACTTTTTCAATAATTCCTTCCCAATTTTTTTGTACAGTTGCTTCATCTCCTAGAAATACTCCCAGATATTTAAATCCTCCTTTTTTCCATACTAAACCAGGGGAAGGAGAAGGGGAAAACACCCTCTTTTCCAATCTCAAAGCTTCATTTTTTCCCCCAATTAATTTTAGCAGAAGACAGTTTTTTTTAAATCATCAAGTACACTCATTAAAACCTTTACATCACTCTGTTGGCTAACAAACACTAAAACATCATCAGCATATGCAGAGAGACTTATACTTTTTCCAAACATTGGCACATTAAAACCTTGTACATTTTTTCATATCATAGATATCCCTAATAAGGGAAATATTATCAAACATTTACCTCTTGGGGACACAGTAGGTTTGGTCCGGATGGATCACCTTATTCATAAGTTTTGATAGTCTGTTTGCTAAAATCTTGGAAAGAAGTTTATAATCACTACACAGAAGTCTCCAGTTTCTGATCTCTGTGAGGTCTCCTGTTTGTTTGCTAAAACCTTGGATAGAAGTTTATAATCACTGCACAGAAGTGAAACCGGTCTCCAGTTTTTGATCTCCGTGAGGTCTCCTTTTTTGGGAAGGAGGGTTAGGACTGCTCTCCGACAACTCAAAGGTAGAAGACCTTCGTCCAAACTACCATTGAGTACTTCTAAGAGATCCTCTCCCAAAACATCCCAAAGACATTTATAGAAGTCTATTGGTATGCCATCGATTCCAGGCACCCTTCCGGATTGCATGCTCTGAACAGCTTTATGAGGTTCTCCCAGGCTGAGCACACCGGAGATCTCTGCATTAGCTTCATCAGACACCTTTGGCAAATCCTTGAAGAAGACACTCTCACTGATATTGTCTGGTCTTAATTCACTTCTGTAGAGTTTCTCGTAAAAACCAATTGCCCTCCTTCTAATCGCTACAGGATTGGACAACAGGAATCCTTCCTCAGATCGCAAAGCGTGAATGATTCTTTTTTGTCCATTTTTCCTTTCAAGATTAAAAAAATACTTTGAAGGTGCATCCATCTGGTCAAGACTTACAAATCTTGATCGGACCAAAGCCCCCTGTGTTTTAACCCCTAATAATTCTGCCAATTGATTCTTTTTTTTAGAGAGAATTTTCAAAAAACGTTGTTGTTTTGATTCCGCCAATTGCTGTATCTTAATTATGTCAGTCTCTAAGTCTTTCATTGACTGATTTAAAACTTTGGTGCTGTTGTGAGCATATTGCTGAGAATACTGTTTAATCTGTATTTTTCCAAAATCCCACCATTTTTGTACTGTTTGAAAAGATGCTTTTTATGTTCTGTAATCAGCCCAAAACAATTTAAAAGTGCGTATAAAATCCTTATCATCTAACAAAGTTAAATTAAAATGCCAATAAGCACTTTTAGGCTTGACAGAATTCAAAATGAAGGAACATTGTACCATGCAATGGTCTGAAAACCCAACAGGAAAAAAACAATTTAAAAAAAAAATACCAACATGATGCTTTAAACATAAAATCTATCCAATCTTGCCAGAGATAAAACATTATCACGTGCATGTGACCAAGTATATTGTCTCTTATCTTCATGAAAAAACCTCCATACATCAGTTAACTCATGCTTATGAATTATTTGAATGAGACGTTTCCTTGAAGGCATATGGGGTTCAATATGATTTCTGTCTCTATTACTCACTGTACAATTAAAATCACCTCCCAAAAATAAATAATCATCATTAGAAACATCTTGTAAAACAGAACATAGTGTGCCTAAAAACAACATCCTATCAATGGTTGAGTTGGGGACATACACACAAATGAAAACAAAATTATAATTCTCCACTTGTGCTCTCACTTTTAAAAGTCGACCCTTCAAAAACTCCTCAACTTGGTACGAGATCGGTTTAAAGGTTTTTGCAAACAAGATTGCTACTCCTCCACTTAACGTGGTGTTGTGGCTAAGAAAAGATAACCCTTCCCATTCCTTCATCCAATCATTTACATTGTTCACATCACTATGCGTTTCTTGAATCAAAGTAACATCTATTTTTTCTGCTTGATAATTTCACACAGCTCAGCTCTTTTTTCTAAAATCTCTAGCACCATTAACATTCAAGGAGGCAATCCGCACTTCAGCCATACTGACATAAATAAACAACCAAAAAAACATAAGCAACCCCAAAATACTAATATTCTTAATCCTCATCTTCATTTAAATCCATACCAACCTTCCTCACAATCTTTTTCAAACGGTAAACTTCCTTGTTTGAAAGGCACCCTTCTGTTATTAGACTTTTGGCTTTGTCATAAAACTGCTTTAGATCAGAGAAATATTCCTTTACAATCACACCTCTTTTATTTTTTGTGACACTAAGAAACCGTTTTATGTCCTCAACATCATAACTTCTACTTATACCTTCAGTCTGCGACAACACTATACTGGAATCAGACATTTCACTTTCTGACTCTTTCTGTTCTTCAAAAACTTCTCCTTTTTTAAAACACTTTGCACTACTGATCTTTTCCACATTTTTCCTTTTTGTCGGTACTTTGAACATCTTGTTCTCTGCTTCTACCTCAGACACATCTTCTTCCCTCACGTTTTCTACATCACTGTTCAACAATCCAGTTTCTGCATTTAGAGAAGCTTCTGGAGTATCCAGACCTTCACTCGTTGATTCCGTTGAGGTCGATCTAGCCTCCACAGGCCCCATGACAGATGTTCCTTCCCCAGCAAGTTTATCCGCGGTCGGCACTGCTTCGGCCGGACCGACCTCAGACGGTTTTACAGTAGGCCTATCTTCCTCACTTGCAGCACTGTCCTTACTACCTCCAGCTGCGTTACTCTTGTCAGGGCATGAACGGATTAAGTGGCCTGATTTATTGTGAACCCGAAGCATGTCATTTTGTCAGTAGTCACAAACACTACATATTCAAAATCGTCCACATGAAAATTTAGTGCCAAGTCCAGTTCAGCGTCATCTTTAATTATCATGAAAGCAAATCTCCTAAATGAAACGATATGTTTTAATAAAGGAGACTCGCACCCGATCGCAATCTTTTTGATCGGCGAAAGCAACTTTCCATAACGTGAAAATGCTTGTATCAAAATATCATCACTAAGAAAAGGAGGGATATTCGATATTGTGACTTTCTTTGATGGTAATATCAGAGGCAAAACAGGTGTAAGCATTTCATCGATGATTATTCCTCGCGCAACCACCTCATTTGCTCTTTCCACCGTATTCAAAAAAATCACGGTTGCGTTATTCATTCTGGATGCAGAGAGAATATTTTGATGGCCAACAACTTCTCCTACACCCAGACAGCAAGCCTCCACACTCGCCAAGGATACTATCTTAACTCCGTGACGCCGTGTGAGGAAATCAAGCCCATTCCCACCCTGAGCTGTCATGCTTTCTAAGAAAGCAGGCAGCACTAACAAAACACACACAAGATAAATACAAAATCAAATAAACAAACTCAGAAAGAAAAAAA